TATTATCAGTTTTCTCAAATATGTTGTCCTAAATATTACTTTCATTACATACAGTTAACTTATCAGCTTATTTTAGATTATTTCAGTTGCTAATTAAGCCACAGTTGTACAAGTTTTACAAACATGACAGTACATCTCGCAGAGTTATTAACGTTTACCTATTTTAATCTGTTGAATTTAGCAGTTTTTTAAATGTAATTTTCGCTCTTTTAAAATGTTTTAAAAATATGCAGTTACACAGTCATCAGTAATCACACAGTGTAAGTGATGAGTTATCACATTTCTGTTGCTGTTAAGCAGCATTTGTACAAGTATCACAAATAATGGACTAGATTTGTCAAAATTATTAATGCTTAACTTTGACTTTGACTTGAATATTCATATATAATTGTATAACATAATTGTATAACTTCAACCTTCGGGTTGCGATTCTCCAATAAAAATTATTATTATTATTTTATTTATTTTTTAACTATTGTAAGCCATGTGATTTGCCAGTTTTTAAATGTAATAATAAAATATATTGTCCAAAAAATCTTTTTCGTGATACACAATCAACTGATAAGCTTATCTCAGATTTATACAGTTGTTAAGCTTCAGTTGTACAAATGTCACAAACATTGGACTTGATGTGTCATTATTATTAATGTTTAACTGTTTTTATCATCGGAATTTGCCAGTCTTTTAAGTCTAGTTTTCACTTCTCAAAAATTCACTTCAATTACACACAGTCAACAGATAAGCTTACCTAAATCATAATCAAGTTGCTCTTTCTAGACTGAAACACAGATGTAGGTCTAACGTTTAAAAACCAACCTTATTAGATTTTTGCTCACATACATCCGTACATACGCTGTAGATTCATGTGTGGACATACAAAGACGTAGATGTCATATACAGCTACATGTAGTATGTTGATATCATAATGTGGTAGGTACTTATTGCAACAGAGACGATCATATTTTCCTCCAGGTGGCGTTATAGTACTGCCCAGTTTGTCAAACATGGCGAAAACTGTTCAGATAAAAGCAGTGGACCATTTTAGAATCGCCATTGACCTCATTACATTATTTCATTTTGGCTGTTTTCTTCTGGTTTCTTTTTTGAAATATATTTAACACAAATGCACTATATATACATATATATGCATTTTGATTTTAGTAAATTTTTAATCAAGTTTTGCTTGTCAGATAAGGGTGAGAGTTGAATAGAAAAGCTTTAGCCCCTCCCCCATAAAGCAAATTGAACCTACTCTTTGGGAAGAGTTGTTACACCTTACGTGATCAGGGAGTGGATGCGAGGCGTTCTGGAAACTAAGTATACGAATATTTACGTTTCAACCAATTCGGTATAATGTTTCAATGTATCAGTGTTAGGGATTTAATGTTCACTTATTTGTAATTAATTTTATAAGAAGTATTGTGACGCATGCATGCATAAAAATGGTTTGGCCATTCCCCAGTGTTTCCTCCACAACATTTTGCTTCCTCCATAACTTCACCTTATCACGTCCTATGGAAATGAAAACTATTTCGGACTTCGTTAGTAGAAAAAGTATCGTCAGTTGAAGACGTACCAGGAGTATATTTACAAGAAGCAGACAAAAAAGGGGAAATGCTGTGGAATCTCCCATTTAAATTCCTATTTACTGACATGTAAATATTTGTAGTAAGCGGTTTGAGGTCGAAATAAAAAGAGCATAACAGACAGTAGGTACACTGTATAAGACTTCCATTTCTAAAAACGATTTCACTAGTCCAGTTGTACTATTTCAGTCCGTTGAATATATAAGTTTAATTATAGCTACACGTACAGATCTTTGTGTGACGGAGTTTTAAAAATTGTGGGTTCACTGGCCAACAATGTCAACCCTTCAAGGCATAGGGGGCGAACTGATAGCTCAAAATACTCTTTCAAACAAATGTTAATCGTTCTGTTGATACCTCATGTTGATACCTTTAAAATAAGGCATTGAGTACTAGAAACATGGCGTGTTTAAGACTGTGTGGTCGTCAGATACTGGTTTAGTTTATTTCAGTAAAGATATCTGCCCCTTATGCCTTTCAACGTGCTTTATTCTCGTAAGACCTTCAAGTTTGCCGCCGTGGCCTTTGTTAAATGGTACTACAATAACGATTACCCTCTACCAGGGCCACAGATTGATTCTTCACTTGATACACGTTTTCAAAGATATGTTTCTAGTTAAACGAAGGGACTTTTCTGCCCTGCATGCGTCAGAGAAAAGTGCACATGAAATCAGCGGCCCTGGGAGATGGTTGGTTATGATACACGCGACCAAGAAAGTTCGGAAACGTGAAATTGTTTTTCAATAATCCAAAAAAAAAAAAAAAATGTAATGTGTTGGGAAAATTTTCTGTGTAAATAAAGACTAACAAATTGTGGGTTCATTAACCAACAATATTTGGTTAAAATATTTACCGTAACTAAATATAGTTATTTTATAACTATTCAAAATAACGGTTTCCGAACTTTTTAGGGCGAAAGTACCAGCAAGGTAACGAGTGGTGACTAAATCAAATAAATCGTGTAAATATATAAATAGTCACAAGTTATTGATCTTATTAGTCAGTGACGCACACATTTTGTGTAATAATTGATGAACTGCTTTATATCTCTTTAATTACTGTCAATTTGTCAAATTTGTTCTGAATTTATTTTTAGGAATGCTTGTAAATATTGATAACACCAAACCATTAATGAGTAGTTAAGTTGACCGTTTATTGGTGAAATGTAATACATTTGTTGTTTGTTACACCTTTGAGATATAACTTTGTCTTACAAGCATGTCTTACAGATATTCAAAGTGATTAAGTAGTGATTAAGTAGTTATTTAAGTGTTCTTAAACTTGGTAGTTTTACAATAAAATACTTAGATATAATTAATACATAGTTGTTTGGCACTAAATAAAGACTTTCCAAATACACAAAACGTCTTAGTTATTTCTTTGACGGTTGCGTTTCTCAGTGGCAACCTGGGGTTGGGCTTCAAACTTGTCTTACGTTTCTAAAATTTCTTTAACGTATTACGATATTTTTAGAAGTTTACTTAGGTTACTACAATAATTTCATTGACTCAGTGGTACCCCTCGGGTTTGGGTTCGTTTCTTGGTTCGGGTACTTGTAAATCATTGAATACTTTTTAAGGGGCTTTACTGAAATTTCCCTTTGGTTGCTATAAGAGGAAAGTCTTCCCTGGGAGGGTGGGTGGGAACAGTTAGAGGAGTAGGTAACGCGTTTGCCTCTGAGTCAAAAAGTCCCAAGTTCGAAACCTGGCGCTCCTGGGTCCCAGCAAATTACCTTTTGCAAAAAAAAAATTCAAATAATCAAGGTAAACTAATACAAGAGGCTCTATAGGTAAGACCTGTGCACTGGAGAAAGAGTTAAAGGGAAAGAAGGTGAAAAATGAAAGGGAATTCAACGTACAAATATCTGTACATTATTTTTATTATTTATTGTTTCAAAAAATTCCAAGTAATTTCAACAAAGTTTTATACAAAACAAAATACGTGAAGTTACGTTTTTTCTACGTTCATAGCAATCATTACAGTAGTGTCAAATTTCTAAAAAATTCTATAAATTATGCTTTTACAAAAAATATACAAGAAGTCTACCAGATAGTAAACTAACTAACACATATGAAGGATTTTATGCACTTTGGAAATTGCTGCTCAAACAACAAAATCTATTTATTTATATAAAAGAGAATTTCGACATAATTCTTACTAAAACAAAATTCATATAAAAAAATGACCAGGACTGGAAGATAAATTGAAATCATATCGTACTTGTCAAATTTTGTTCAAAGTTGACGTTAATAATTGATTACTAATTCCATTGAGGAGCAAAGTGTCCAATTTCAGTGGTGTGAATGATATCGAAATTCCAAAATGCATATAATCTCACATAGGCGTCTTCCCCTCACGTGCACTAGCACTCAAGCACACCTTGTTCTATGCCGTCGTGCTGATTCTCGCACAGAAAAGGGTAGACAAAAAAGTCATTTTTAAGAATCGAGTGTTTTACGTTATTTTGATTTCATTACATTACATCCTTAATATTGGTAGGTTAATGGCACGACTTTGAGCGAAAACTTAAATTTGCACACATGCGACTCAGGAACGGCATAAAGACTTGGTCAATTTCCAAGCTTATTCTAGTCATGACAATTTAAGAAATATATACAAACAAAATTGAAAAGATTAGGAAGAAAGAAAAACGGCGACTTAAAATTCATCAATTCATAAATGCTAATACCCTTACTCTGGTCTCCGGTGCTCAGTGACCAAGAAACACTTAGCAAAACTGGCATCTATCCAGACCTTTTTCTCTCAATCACCCCTCAGTCACAACCAAAAACATATTAATTAATAATAGATATTTTCATGCATATGAACAAAGAAGTTTTTCCAGGAGAGCACTTACATTTCTGCTTTGCGATATTGGCAAAAAGTCGAACAACACACAAAGGAGCTCATGCAATGCTGATAAATTTGGGTGGCCCTAAGAAGAGACAATTTTTATCACGTTGGTAACATATATTCCCCTACTGCAATAACGAATGCGCAGTAATTTCGTGAAAATCCCTATTTCTCTCCTGCTTTCATTTTGTTAACATTGTTTTAGACCCATCCCAGCACAGTACATGTGTATCTCTCACTGATCAGACAAAATTATCAAAACACCGAAACCAAAGTAAGTTCATTCTTAACATGTGTCACAAACGTATGTCCGCAATTTAAAAAGGATTGTTTCTTATACATGGGCAATTCTGCAATCACGTGGACAAATTTATCATTTTCCTAACGCTGTAATTTCCGAAGCATTATAACTTGAAGAACAGTGTAAGTAATTATAAATTTACATCTTGTTCATTTCTCAAACTTAACGGTCACTGTATGAAACCGTTTGTGTCTCAAAAGTTTCATGTAATGAAGTTGAGATATTTTTCTTATCGGAATCTCAGAATTCAATTCAATTCAATTCAATTCAATTCAATTCAAAATAAATATTTCAAATATTCTCAAATGCACAGCTAAGTGACTAACTGAAGATTTGCCCACAGACAATTTTTACCTTCAACTAGAAAAACAATAGCACTGGCACAGTGCTCTACCTAAAAATCGCCTTATAATAATAATAATATTTGATAACTATCATTTCTGTTTTCATCGATCATTTCAGCAAAATACTTTTTGCATTAAAATTACTTTGTTAAAGGTGAACTCCAAAAAGTACCGTACTTTTGTTTGAGAATTGCTGGGTACTTACTTCCGACACAATAAAAAAATACATAATAAATAAAATACCTTGAAACGATATGAGCGGATAGAGTACTGTACTGCGATTTAGAAAGAATGTATCATATATAACCAGCGACATGCAGGGTCGACGCCATTCATTTCTTTCTTTTTCTCAGATCAGAAGTTTCGTTAAAAATTCTGCTGCGTACAACAATTATTTTATACAAATTTTATGCAGAATATTACTATCCAAGGCAAAGATTACATTTCATATCAAATGTCAACCCTGCAAATAAACTACAAGACAAACTTCAACAAGCGAGACAATTTTGGCATGGGCGCAGGCGATGTCCAACATGAATCTGATGTCTTTGATCGGCGACGCATCCAATCACCCGGTAAACAGCAGTTGGGAGCCACTGAAATAAACGAGAAAAATCACATTCATGACACGGTTTGATGAAGCAGTGTGTATATATCTTTACAGCATGCTGTTTTGGAACACATGCGATTATATTAACAAAACACTGTTGTGCCATTCCTATTCTTTTCTACCCTATGCACTGTTTAATGACAACATACTTCTTTGCATTCATATGTAAGCTGCGGTATGAAAGGACCAGGTGCCCGGATTACGGAAATATTCGCGGAAATGAAAGTTAATGGATGAAAACATTTGGCAGATGGGTCCAATTAGTATAAAATTGACAGGATCTTAAAAAAGACATTATTTTGGCACGTTTTCACTGACCAAGCCAGGGTTTTCAGGGGGAGGGGGGCGATACATTAGCTGGATTTTGTCTAGTTTCGTGCCATGTACAATTTTTTGCGCTTTTGATTTGTTCTTGTTTTTATTTTTATTTGTTATTTTGGGAGGGAAAAGGGATACCTCTTAAACTAAGGGAGGGACACTGTAGCACAGTCCACCACCCCCATCCACCCCTCACCTCCCCAACCTGGTCCCGTCGTTTCCAGGAATGCAGTGACACAATAGTTCAACATCTTATTAATGAATGTGCATTTGTCTGTTTGAAGTTTACTTTCATATACAAGATATTTTTGATTTTTTGAAAACAGGTCAATGACCTCGCCAATAAAACAATTAGGAGAATGTAGATACCTGCCCAGTCATCTTACTTGTTGAGGACTTGTTCAGACCGTTGGACAGCTGCAACAAGCCCCTCGCTTCCTCATTGGCAAGTGCGTTCCTTCCCTGAAACTACAGAAAACAAATCATTCAAACTTTGAGCTGATTTTGAAATTCTAATGGAGAGTGTATTGGACATAAGTGTAATGTCCCCACAGTCATAAGGACTTAAATGTCCCTGTGCGAAACGCATCATTTGGGCAAATGTCGTCTACACAAAGTACACAGCGTTATCTTATATCATCTATACAATACTACGGCAGCTTCCTGTCATTTTCTGTGATAAATTTGTGGCCTACGTGTGGAAATTGCAACAACGCACCAAGAACCTCTGTCTTCTCCATCTTCTACTGACCTTGGTCCTACCTGAACACCTCTCATGGAAATGCTTACCTGTATTACATAATAATGTACAGGTCACCCGCTTTTCGTAAGCAAGTTTCGATTTAAACTTGTTTTTGTTATTTGATATGGTGCAAGGCGTCCTAATCCCGCGATGGTGATTTAGGCTTTCTACCATCAAAATTGCAAAAATAATAACATGTTATCAACCATTAAGTTTGATGTCAAATTATTTGGATATGTTTCACCCCCCCCCACCCAACA